AACTCCAATGCAAATACAGAGAGGCTAGGTTCAGTCACCCCGTTACAGTCAGCCGGGACATACTGAAATGCTCTGTTCGATTCCAATAACGGGAGTTAGCAAGAAGAGAAAGGACCAATTCACACGACGAGTGAGCCTGGTTCGAAGAGCCAATTAGATCCAATTTCAAGAATCCAGTCCGGGTCCTCTTACCCAATATGAGACCTGAATTGGTCTGACAACCCAATGTAGTCTAATTACGGGAAAATCCAGGTCTTACTACGGGCCTCAGCCAATCTGACGCGAAGGACAAATTTGATCCAATTACGGGGACATCCGGGTCTTACTACTGGACTCTTAATCAATATGAGACCTGAATTGGTCGGGCGACTCAATGTGGACCCGAGTACGGGGTTTCGATTCTGTTTCAGGCTGTCCTATTCTTTGTGCCGTTTCAGGGAACGTTGTTTTTGGTAAATGGATCTCTTAAAGGTAGAAACGGAGGAGAAAGCTCTGACGGTGAGAGCCAATTCCGGATCCAAGAAAGAAGGAGCAATTTCTGGATCCAAGACGAAAGGAGCCAATTTCGGATCCAAGACGGAAGATTGAAGAAATTCAGAGGCTAGGATTTGAAAGAGGGGAGAATTAGGGTTAAAGGGGAGGAAGGTTAAGAAATGGGAAGGGGAGTTTTTTTTCAAATCGAGGGTTTTTGGATCGAAGAGCTAGCTTAATGCTCTTTTCAAGGTCACTAGTTTGGTTTCATTAGGATTTGTGAGGGGAGAGCAATCGCTGCTCAAAGTCAGTGTTTATTTTGGTGTTTCGGATTTTATATAAAACATTGATGGTTTGCATTCTCAATTGGTTTGTGCAAGTCGTGTAGCATCTATGGGTCAAAATTTGGTATTGTCTGGATAATTGGGTGTACTAAGTGTATAAAAAAATTTGTATTAATCTAACAATGCAATCAAGAGATATCTAGATTTTAGTACAAAGGGTTGTCAGAAGTTGGCAGTCTAGGGTTGGATAGGGTTTCTGTGATATCTGAAGATCTACTAGTTGGATCGACGTAATTTTTGGCTTGGTAATAGAAGATTTGGAGATTAAGTGGCTATTCAATTTTGAGCTGGAGTTAATAGTTGACAAAGGAGAAATCACTTCTAGAGTTTCTACATCAAATTTCAAGGTTGCGGCCGAGTGTCATCAGTGCGGTTTTTGGGCGTTTTCTTCCAAACTGTAAGTTAGGTTGGGCTGAAATTTTTTGAGCATATAGAAGGCTTATACTGGTATTTGGGTGCAAAATTTCATACTAAGTGGACGGTTGGATCAAAAGTTACAGCTTGTCAAAGCTCACTAGCTAGGGTTAGGGCTTGTTAAGAAAAACAAAAACAACTTAATTATAAAAGAAATAAAGCAATTGGAATATTGTATGGTTAAAATGACTATGAGGAGTGTTTTTAAATACTTGGAAATTGATATTTCAATTATATTCTTCATACATGGATAAAATCTATTAGGATTTCTTTGTTATTTGTAAAAACAACTATACCTTCCACAGCCAGATATCCAGTGTATTCCCGAACAAGACAACACGTAATACGACAGCGGGGAAAGAAGACAGAGAATTGATTTTTTTTTTTTCTTCATAGGATTTTGAGAAGACTGAGACAATCGTTGCTGAAGTCAGTGTTGTAATGGTGAATCGGGATTTTTAATGAAGTGGGTTTGATTACTCTTGGCTGTTTTGTGAAATCGAGTTATGTCTGTGATGAAGAATTAAAAGGGTGTCTATAGGATTGAGTATGCGGAGTGAATGAAATTGATTGGATTAATCTAACGAGATAATCAGTGGATACAAGATCGTGAGTATAAAGCGGTATCGAAGATTAGCAGTTTGGATTGTTTGGGGTTCTCTGTAACGTCTAGAGACCTACTGGCCGGGACAAAAAGGACTTTGGCGAGCAGTCGAAGGGCATCCGTATAGATTTACGGTGTATTCTTGCAGTCGTTTATATTCCAACAGTCAAAAACTGATAGACTGCTTGACTATTGGCGAATCTGCATACTACCTTCTACAGCCAGACGCCCAACGCATTCTCGAGCAGGAAAGCACGTAATACGACAATGTGCCGTGACCATTGAAGATTTAGTAGCCATTGATATCAAGCAGCATACCAATGACGACAAGTTTAAGGTGGAGGGAGATCTTTTATACTTTGAAAAGCGGTTGTATATTCCAAAAGGACCAGCACGACTCCGAGTTCTTCAATCTCGCCACGATTTTCTAGTTGCGGGACAATTTGGATTCAACAAGACCTTGGAGCTTATTTCTCGAGATTTTTGGTGGCTCCAAATGTGAAAGGATGTGAAAGATTTTTTCCTCTCCTACAACATTTGTTCAAGATTCAAGAATCCTCGGCATTGCCCTTATGGACTCCTACAGCCATTGTCGATTCCATGTCGACCATGGTCTTCAGTTTTTATGGACTTCATTACGGACCTGCCATCCTCGAACTCATTTGACAGCATCTTTGTCGTAGTAGATCGGCTTACAAAGATGGCACACTTTGTCCCTTGCAAGAAGACATCGTCCAGTGAAGTCACAGCAAGGCTCTTTCTCGATAATGTGTATCGATATCATGGACTACCAGATGATATCGTATCAGATCGAGGAACCCAATTCGTATCAAAGTTTTGGAGATCTCTCTTCGAGATACTGAAGGTGGATATCAAGCTTTCTTCGGCTTTTCATCCTCAAACTGACGGCCAAATGGAACGGATGAATCAAGTCTTGGAACAATACTTACGATGCAACATCAACTATCAGCAAGACGATTGGACCACATATTTGTCGCTAGCCAAATTTGCATATAACAACACCCTCCATGCGTCGACTCAATACACACCATTCTTTTCCAACTATGGATATCATCCGAAGCTTGATTTATTGAGTCTGTCAACAAATAACAATCCAGTAGCTGAAGGATTTGCGAAACAACTATCAGAGCTTCAAAATACGTTGAAGCTTTAATTACAATCCACTCAAGAATCCTACAAGGCGTCTATAGATAGATTTTGGAATCAAGGACCTACTTTCAAAATTAGAGATAAAGCATGGCTTCTTTGACGGAATATCAAGACCAAGCGACTATGTGATAAATTGGACTATCGAAGATAGGAACCATTTATCATCCAGAAGCAAATCAATCCAGTGGCGTACCGTCTGGAATTACCGCCTTGTATGAAGGTACATCCAGTCTTTCATGTTTCTTTGTTAGACCCTTATCGAGAGTCGTCTTTTCTTGGAAGATTACAATGTCCGCCACCTAGTATTGAGATCGAGAACCACGAGGAATATGAGGTTGAAAAGGTGTTGGATTCACGGCGAAGGTGGGGCAAGTTGGAGTATCTTGTTCATTGGTGCGGCTACGATATTAATGAGCAAACGTGGGAGCCAATTGAAAATCTTGCCAATGCGCCACAAAAGGTACAGGAGTTTCATCAACAACATCCTCATAAACCTAAGCTGGTTCGATGATAGCTTCGTTCTGAAGCTTGCTCACCCAAGAATATAAGAAAGGGGGAGAGCACCACCAAAATTCGTACTTGATGTAGTTATTTTCTCCAAGATAAAGTAGAATTTTTTCAGTAGCCATAGTTTGGTCTTCTAATATGGATAGCCAAGAGATAGATACTATGCCAGTCAGATTATCTCAACCGACTAGCTCACGAAGGCGATCCCGAGATGAAGAACTACCTACACCACGACGACAACGGAGGATATCGAATAACCGATCATTGGTGATTGTATTTGAGTTCAAACCTGCTTACGATGGTCAGCCAGAAAGCGTGTTTGTAGGATAATTTCACAATGAGGACAAAGAAGTTCATGCTTGATCAGAAGTCGAAGGCGTGGGCCACTACCATTGGCTTCAAGGGACAATGAACCACTTGCCTTGTGAACAACAGTTGGAGTTCATAGCAGACGTTATGCGACAGATCTTCATTTTCTTGTGTTGGTACTGATTAACAACAATATTGCTTCTCAGAGACCTCGAAGCTAAAGGAGGGGGTGATGTTAGGGACATAGTCCTTAAAACCTTTTAGAAACAAGTTTCTAGAACCTTCTAGAAGTAAGTCTTTGGAACCTTCTAGAAGCTTCCTAGTTGGTAGATGATGTTAGGGACATAGTCTTTAGAACCTTCTAGAGACAAGTTTCTAGAACCTTCTAGAAGCAAGTCTCTGGAACCTTCTAGAAGCTTCCTAGTTGATAGAAGTTGCTTGAGAAGCTTCCTAAATAGGAGTATATATTGGAATCGAGGCTGAAGAATTCTTCAGTCTCGACAACACATCTCTTGGAGTTCTAGCTCACCTCTTTGATGTTGTTCTTGTATTCATCTGATTAATCTAATTCTTGTCAATTCTTCTTGAACTTCTTATTAGATCTCGAGCCTGTATTTCTGTGTCTGTGACAATGCTCTATTTTGTGTGCAACCTTATTGATGCTAAATGTTGTGACTTCAAATCGCTTATTTTTCAATATACATGTATATTGGTTGTAGTTGTTGAAATTGTTGGTATTTTCAACAACTACAATCAATTATTCAAAAAATCGTTCTTGAAAAACAATTAAGAATATTTTTTACAAACTGGCAATAATACACAATAATAAAAATAAAAAACATATTTTAAAATAAAATGAGAACACAACATGGAATTCAATTCATCTATTGAAGCACTTTAATGTAATACTTGTTTGTACTTCTATTAACATTGTAACAAAATCATGTCTTGGTATTTTCGAGTCATACGTATTTTGAAAACAATATAGAAAAATTTAACTTGAGTTCTATAAGCTACATCAAATGTTTTCTGGCATAGAAGTGCTATATTTCATGTTTAAGTTTGGAACACTTAGTTGACAATACACTTGTAGTCCTGCTAAAGAGGCAATTAACTAACTTAAGAAGGTAAGATCACGACAACCACACTCAGCAACAACTATGAGTTAGGAGACAAAATCAAAAAAATAAAATAACGTCAATTGACAAACAAAAGTAGGAGCTATTTTCACATGGTGGCAACGTAATCCACCACCTCTTCAATCATAGAACAAAGTACAAATCATTCCGAGTCCATGTTCAACAATACATGCAAATTGAGTACAAATGTGCCTCATAAAAATATTGATAAGTGAATTTGGTAGAGAAACTGTGTATCTAACTTCTATTCTGCACAGTTGGAATAAAAATTTACCTTTTTTATGAACCAGTTTGCAGTTTGCTTCAGAGATGCAACAGCATGCTATTCCATCACGCAAACTCTGAGGCACTCCAGAGCCTAAGAATTGTTAACTTGTGACAAGCGCAAACATTCCAGCTGCAGATCAGCCAACATTTCTCGAATGATGCGCTCCGTGACGCCTCGCACGTACCCGTTGAGCGGCCATGGTGGAACTATGGCTGGCTCAAGCACTTGCTGGAAATTCACCCACGATCCTGGCGTTGCATTGTTCTCACGGGAACCGATAGACAATTCGCTCGCAAGCATTGGCTCTATCTTCCAAGAGCCTGAAAATTTCTTCATCATACCTTGCCTGGAGAGATCAAAAAGCATCTGCAGAACAAGAAAACGATGAAAAAGCTGCCAAATCCGAGTCTGCGAGTATCCGGGATTGTCTGAAAAATTAAGAAACCAATCTGGGAAAAAAAGAAAAAAGAAAAACGATACTCAGGGAAAGAATCTAGAGATCGGATAAGGCGATTGGAAACCCATATACCAATTTTTCTTCGCGGTTTTGCTCCACAATCACACGAGAGGAGAAGGTGCCTGAGAGCATGAGAAAGCGCCACCGACCCAGCTGCTCTACCTCCACGAGCTGCCGGTTGCCATCATCCTCCAGTACTTTTCGGTAGACGACTTCCTGCCACAACCATCGTACCGAAACCAATTTAATTTGTCATCTCCAATTCTGGAACAATCTCTATCCTAAATATCCTGTATTATAAATACCCACATTAAATTATAGTGAAAGATGCAACGCAAGAAGCACAAGGAAAAATGGTGCGCCACAAAGCACACATTGAGTGTCACTGCAAAGGCGGCGACACAGAACAGCGTGTGCTAACGTATCAGCCATGGCTAGAGAAGACAAGGTCGCGCTATGAGGAAATGGAATCAGTTAAAACAGACAGGTTCGGAAATTACAAAAGCTGGTGCAGATAAGTGCACAGAGCAATGCTGCGCAAGATGCATCAGACGAATTGCGTGACTGAATCCAAGGTTTAAGCCTTACCTTGATGTTCTTGAAAACACGGCGGTTGTTAGGGTCAGTAATGATGTTGAAGACTCCATCCGGGGGTAAAGCTACCGAAAATCTGGCATCGATCTGGCAAAAACTTCCCTTAGGCTGCGTGATTTTCAACATGGGTGGCTCGTGCACGAATTCGGCAGACTCCCATGCCTCGTCTTCCAACACTGACTTGCCTTCCCCTTCCACTCCGTCCAATGCCTTCACTTCTCCATTATCGCTGTGAACCTCCATCTTAAGTGATCTTCAAAGGTTGTCAGATGCCTCAGCTCGTGGATTTTGTTTCATTCCTTCGCGACTCGGATAAAAAACAAAAAGTGACAAAAATGCGCTCAACGCACACTCAATTCCTCTCCTTAACACCCCCTCCTCCGCAACCTACAAAAAAATCTCGAAGCTAAGTTCCAATCGACATTCGATCCAAACTCACCTCCAATTTGAGCTCTCAGTCGCTGCTGCGGCAACTGTAAGCCAGATCCTCAAAGTGGGATCCGGCACCACGAATCCTATCCAGCAATGCTGAACTCTATTACACAAGAAGCACGTTATGCAAACAAGTTGCCGGCGACAGGATAAGGGTTCTGCTCACCGCACTAGCGCATGCCATGCTCATGAGTCCCACAGACCCGCACACAAACTTTCACGCAGCTCTGCATCGTGCACGTCGAAAGCAAGAGAACTAATTCCAAGTAAGTAAATATGTAAAAACCAAAAATGGCTCAAAAACCAACTTGATAATGAAAATGATAGAAAGTGGGAACACATCAACCGACTTAGACCAGATATTTCCCATTCCAGATCCGACGTGTTGCCTAACGACGGGACCCCATCAGAGTCGATCAACATTTGTAGGATCTTCATGCCGTGAGCCGAAAGAATTCTCGTGAACGACGCTACTCGTACTATTCACGGATATTCTCTAAATTTTGACATGGTGGGCTAAGATCTATCAATTGAACAAAACGATCCGAAGAAGTGTGCCCGACCCGATCAGAATCGTTTCTCGTCCTCATTGGCTTCAACAAGCGGTGGCGTCCATGAATTGTTCTCAGCATCGTCAGTTCCGACACCGCCGCCGCTGGCACCATCACCACCTCTCGCACCTTCTCATCGCGCGCCATTGACCTCTTAATGAAAAATCCGTGGCCGCCTTGAAATGCATTCGACGATTCTGCAATCTGCGACAAGCTCGGCGTAGCCCTAATTCCTGTAAATTCGGTGAAGCTTTGTCCCATAGAAAGAATTCTGTCTTCCGCTTTCATTGTTATCTCGCATGTTGACGGATTATGGTCTCCTCATCGTCGAATTTCCGCCGTCGTCTCACCCTCTGATGCAAATTTTTCGGTAGATTATGTGCGCTTCTGTCGTTATTCTCTCGCGTGCCGAATGCGTCGGTAGGATAATCCTGGCGGTATGATGTCGGTATGGTTTCTTACTGAGAAAAGTGTGGCTTTTCACCGTATATACTTATAATTTACGATAGATATTAAGGAGAAAATTGGTGCTTTTAAATTTGTAAATGGAAATCACAGTGGAAATGCTTATTTAAAATATTGAATATGGTTTTGGTAGAATTGTACATTTTTACTATTTCAATTCAGACCTTGTATTTCTAAATTATCAATGTATTCAAAACAGAAATTTGAAAAGTAGGTATTCATAAGTTTGAATTTTTAAATTTTTAAAAACTCATACATTGATTAATTAATAATGCTGTAGGTTGTATGAAGAACAAACTTGATGAAAAAGGTACATAATGTTTTCTTAGGATACTTCTACTCCACCAAAATATTGCAAGAAAGACGGATTCTTAAATTGATAGTAATATTTGAAAAATATATTTAAAATAACTAATTTTACAGGTAATATGGTTCTCATATTAATTCAAATCATTAAAAGTTAATATTTCATAAAGTTTTAAATTTTTTTAAAAATGCTCTAATCCAACCTATTAGTAGATAATGCACATATTGCTAAATTGGTAATCATAAGAAATAATGCAAATATTTTGAATATCTTCAATAAACTAATACTATTCCAATTTATGCTACTATTTATTAGACTGTCTTCCTCATTATTTATATTTTAAAAATTGGATGACTTTATATTTATACATATATACATATATATATATATAGTTTGTTGTATGATTTGTATCAAGATGTATTTCCTTGATGTGCTATTTTTGGCCATAAATAATATCCTTATCAATTGGATAAGTATAAAGTTTGATTCAAGTGGATTCACAAGTCGAATTTAAGATTTTATTTTTTTGTATTTTGGTGGTTAAACCAACAACAACTGAATATATTGTTTACAGTAAAAATTATTGACAAAATATATATATATATATATATATATATATATATATCTTCAATATTGTGGCATTTGTTAGGGAATGTATTCAAGAAAATCAAAGTTTCTAAATTCAATTTTATTTCTTTGTGCTTTTACACTTTAAAACTTTATGTTTTGAAAAAAACATGTTTAGAAACATTTTCTGCCAAATCCCATAATATTTGCATTAGAATATTTTTGTTATTTTCTTGTCTAAAATGTTTTGCATAAAGTAAATCAAAAGCTAATATTAAATTAAAGTATTACATATTAAATTAAAAAATATGCTCTATAGTAGTCATTAAGTCTTCTTGTAGTATTATTGTACAACTACTTGAAAGGTTGTGTTTATCCACCATACTGTGTATACATGTAAGATATTTAAAAATCATACCAAGTAGTAACAATTATTTTGTAATATGCATAATTATTTTCGTCAATTCTAAATATACCAAGAAAACTATCATTAATCCAAATCATATTAGTCTTATAACTTTCTTTTGGCTTAAATAAAAACATTCTAATCAACATTTGAATTATTATCAAAACAAGAATGGAGATACTGTTGTTATGCATATTTCACCCATAACATACTATGATATATGTTTTTGGTAATTATTATTAATAAATAGTTGATTTGAATAATTTTAATTTTTAACCATATTAAAAATCATATATTTTTTTATATATTAAATTATTTTAATTTTTATTATTAATTTATAATAAGCTAGGTAATAAAAAAATTAAATACAAACTATACATAATAATTTAGATTTAACAATAATAATTATTCAATTCAATCTATTTTTATTTTTATTTTACATCTTTATTTTTAAGATGAATAAAATTATTTGAAACCTTTTTGTAAGTCTACTTTTGATTTTAGAAGTTATTACTATTCTTCTTATTTTAAAAATTATGATATATATATTTATATATTAAATAATCTAAAAATTATTTTAAAAAATTAAACTTCAAAATATAAATATAAAAAATATTTATATATAGATAAAAGTTTTCATAATCATTCACAAGCTCTTTTTAATTACTAGCTTAATTAATTAAGTAGTTGATCTAGATTAATATGGTTTGGCTAATGAGAAGACTCAAAGCAAAAAAATCTAAGGTAGAGTGGAGATACTTGACCCACCTAAGAACCAAAATACCCAAGTTATATTTGATTAGGGCAAGACAATAATTAAATGTTGAAAAAAAAATTATTTGTTGCTATAATTAATTAAGAAGAGAAAGGCTATGTTAAAAAAAATCCTTCTCCTATTATTGTTTTTATTCTATTAAATCTAAAATACTATTAGGAGTCCCAGAGAAATAAAGTGTCTCCATTTTTGTTTTGCCCTATTTTATCCTTTTGATTTTTAATTGAAGTTAGTTGTTTGCAGTCTTGCTCAAAACAATAGCTGGTGCAAAAACCTTCTTGACATAGATTATATCTATAATTCATTAACTTTGGCATGAGAAATTGTGTTCATTTTACTCTTTGAAGATTAGCATCCAACAAGAGATTTAATAATTTGACTACATTTGAAGCTTTCAAATTGTCAAACTAAGGATTGGCTTAGGTCCAAAGTACCAAAGTTTGGACAATAGAATTTTCATTGAAGGGGTATCAAATTCCAAATTGTAGACAATAAGTTTTTATACCCACTTTCTCTTACCTTCATGAACTCATAATCTAGATGATTCTATTAACATAATGCTCTTCTTGGTAACATTATATCCACAATTAACATCCTCAATAGTTTGATGTTTGCATCTCCACATAAACAATTGTTTAGTTCTTTTTTGTATTTGGATAAATATGCTGTAACATGAATTTAAAAATATACATACAATGGGTGAATGTACTTAAACTATACAAGCCAAACATGGACATGCAGCCCAACCATCTGCACTCATACATCAGGACTTAAAGAAAAAAGAGAACCTTTGCTGCATGAATCATGACATTTTTGTTGTTTACAATAAATTTATCCAAGCTTGATAATAAAAAGAAGTGTAAACAAGAATAATTAAACTACTTACAGTCTACATGAACCATCTCTAACAAGAACCGTGTACTAACGTTAAAGACAGGAGAATAATATACTACATGTGAGAGGGAGAAAATGTTCTATTGATGTTGAATTGAGGAGTTGACACACTTGCAGTAAGAATTTGTGATGCTGGAATTACAAAAAAATTGATCTTATACAGTGTTTCCCACTAATACATATGCAAGTTGTTTATAACGATTCTTGATTGATATTTTTTTTATAACATTAGCCATTGAGCACAAAAATTATGAGACAAACGAGCATGAGTGATTTGATTCAATACAAGCAGAATTGCAGCGCTTTTATTAGTACAATTCCAAGTAAGTTCCAGCAAGTAATTTTAAGAATCTATCAAAACTCGGCAACCTATAAAGCCAAGTTTAAAGTATGGGTGAAATTCCCCAAAAAATTAAAATTCCAGCGACTGAGTCCGTGATGCATAAACGTCGCAACTTAAGATCCTTTATACACAATTCCTACGGTAAATATATATATCTCACATAACTGTGTAGCCTGGACCACCACCTCCTTCTGGAACAGTCCACTGAATATTTTGTGTTGGATCCTTTATGTCACAGGCCTAAAGTCCACACACAAACAAATAAATTAATCCAGCTCTCCTCAAAAAAGTGTAGTTCTGAACAATAAAGTTTTTCTAGTAACGTCAGGTAAAAGCAAACAGACAGTGCACACATGAACCCACCTTGCAATGAAGACAATTTTGAGCATTAATATTCAATTTCATTTTATCATTCTCGTCCGTAACATACCTGAATCATATCACAAAAACACACACATATGCTTAAAAAACGTCATAGAAACTCAAATTTGTTACAGATACAATGACGTACAAGAGGAGTGTGGAGAGACAAGTAAGGATCATGGCATACTCGTATACTCGAGCTGGGCAGTATCGGGACTCTGGCCCTGCGTATTTAGGTAAATTTACAGATTCAGGAATTTGAGGGTCACGTAGACGCAAATGTGGTGGTTGATCATGCTCGTGATTTGTACTACTCCTGCATACACAAGTAACACGTCATCTTCCTAACCGACATATTGGATTTCAAATCCATTTGTGGACTGAAACCAAGCATGTATGAGCAATCGGCAACACTACAAATAAGCATTAATAACTTGAAAACTTGCACAGTAATTGTTGGAAAAAAAAAAAATAAAATAATGCTCGACGTAACAGAATAATAATGAATTGAACCTGTAAAGAGACGTTAACAAGTCGAAGGATATCACACCATCAGGTTTTGCATAAGAGATTGGCCTATGCTTTGAAGCTGGCTGCAAGGAAATCCCCTACTAGAGGTTAGAAATTTTATAACCCCAATATATCATCAGCATTTTTTATTTCTTCTATTCACAGTAACCTGTCTCTCTCATTAAATTTGTCACCTTGTAACGTTAATTCGAGCTAATGTTAGTTGAAAACGTAAGAATACCTCTGTACATTTGTGATCTGAAGGACCATGTCGCAAAGTAAATGGTATCTTCCCCCTCAACAAGTAACTATCCAACCAGCCGACAGAAGCAACTTAGAACCATAATCTTCATTCAGATCACCAACTACAGTCTGCATAAGATTTCATATATGCAATGAAATTGTATGAAAAAACATTCAATCGATGAATCAACCATGATAATTAATTTACCACAAAATTCATAAAGATAAAATAAGGACAAAAAGAAAAGTTGAAACTGTTATTTAACAGTAAAGCGTAGTATGATGTCTCACTGATCCAAAGCAGCATGTGTCATGCCTGGCAGCAACCCATAGTGGAAGGCCTGTACTCCCATAAAATCCAACCACAACAATGAGCATCAATAATAACATGTCATTAAACAATATGTTGGCTTCAGGCAATGATTCTATATAACCTCAGGCTTCCATTGTGGTCCCACCAGTTGCTTCAAAAGAAAATGTAAAGGAACATGATATGAGAAGATGATGATACTTCTTACAGGGCGAATATTGCGAACAGACTTTAGTTCCTGCCACACCCATGATTTTTGCAAAGCCGTCCAATACGCCTCCATACTTGGCTGCTCAGACTTCCCCAGCGCTTCAAAAGCTGCCTCTGCAGCTACCATACCTGCAAAACACGTTTACAAATACAACTGTCACCGAGGAACAACCTGGCAAGATAGTAACAACATGACACAAAATTAGCACAGATAAGTGAATCGAAATGAGTAAATAATTACCTGACTTCAGAGCAGTATGTGAGCCTTTTATTTTTGGAACATTGAGAAACCCGGCACTGTCACCCAACAAAGCACCTCCTGGAAAGGCCGTTTTGGGTATAGACTGCAAATCAAAGTGAGATCAACAGAAGACGAGTGGAATGAAAACATTAGAAACAATCAAACTCATTCGTGCAATATGCATTTTGCTTATAGAGATTCAGATATCATCTGTTTTGCATTTGTGTTGTATCACCCTTAGAGAAAGAGAGAGCACTGAGAAGTATTCGTAAAAAAGAAATAATAGGACACCGCGATACAACCTACGTGAGCTTCAGATAAATGTGCACTAATAGATCTTACACAAAACAATGCAAATAGAAGGACGATCAGCAACTAGTAGCTACATTATCAGAAATAAAAGGAACTGATATTTTCCATTCAACAATTAAAATAACAAACGTTCTTACCTGAAATCCACCCTCGTTCAAGGTACGAGCACCATATTGAATCACTTTCCCCCCTTCCAGCATTGGCCGTATTGAAGGGTGCTGCTTAAATCTCTGTAAACTTATCAACCCGATGAAGTAAGCCATACACAAAGTTGATAAGTATGTCCCGCTTACTATCTCAAATATCTTTAGAACAGTGCTCGAAACTGATAGAAACATCTGGAACTAGTACAAGTGTCCCGCACTTTTCGAAGATTGTAAACAACGGCCGAGCCTTAACTTATTCAAAAAACAGTAATTACAATTCATCATACAACTAAATCACGACATGTACAAGAGCAAAGTTTAATATTAGTTAATGAAGAGATCAAAAACTATTATTTAACACCGACATAAACATCTTTATATGGTCCATCGTCAGATTAAGTTGATAAAGATAATTCATTGGTTAAAAGACAGAAGCATCTGTATACCTTGCTGCATGAATCCAAAGTGCTGACTCAAATAACTCAGAATTCCAACCTTTAAACTAGATCAATTGTCACCAACCACAGTAGGAAAACTGCGGTTTGCACAAAATATTATACCTGGTATTCTTCGTATGGACTCAAATAAGGATTCTTGTAGTCTAGTGCTACCACAAGTCCAATGGCAACCTGTAATATACTTCACACAGTGAATGTAAGCAGTAGCTTAAAGAATTGATAGGTATATTCATATAGCCTATTAATGATGTAAATAGTTGATTACAGCATATCTGCCAATACGGTAAGGCTTGAAAGATTAATTCATACAACTGTCTTAACACCCGGTACCTCAATTAGTTCCCTGGATAAAGATGTCAAAATAAGCTACTGTAATAAACGACAGGCGCAAGTAATACTTTACTCTTCGATCGAATTCATCCTCACCTGTCGGTTATCCATGTGATATAAAAAGGTTCCACCGTAGGTTCTGTAATCCAATGGATAACCCACGGTGTGAAGAACATAACCCGGTATATGCTTGCTCTCCTCGACCTCCCACACCTGCCCTAGCAAGGAAACGAGTTAAAAATGGCAAAAATGCTCTCAGTCCGCATGTTCTACACCTATAATGGTTGTACATTCCAAGGATTTTCAAAGCTGTGCAAAATGACAAGCTCTATCTAGAATCTATACACTATTATAGAAAAAAAATAAATCACACCTCCTTGATTCCAAGAGCATAGGTTTGGTGCTGCGCTTGAACTTGCTCGCGTAATTGATACTTCTTAAGAATAGTCTGTCCCAAGTTATGACAGCACGAGTAAAGTTACGAGAACCATACAAAACCCACTTCTCTTACCCAGTTATTAAAAAAAGGAGATTATTGAGATCGAGTATGGTACAGGGAACATTTAATAAGTCAAAACCCTTACAATTCAAAGATTAATAGTAAAATGAGCGATAAAAAACGTGCTTGTAGTTTAGTTACTTGCTGCTTAAGGACTACCAAATGCCACAGGAAGACACGACAAGAGTGCAATATTAGGGTAGTGAACAAACTAACCAAAAATACACGAAAGGTTGGTAGCAACATACCTCAGACAGAGAACCTCTGCAACCTTCTCCGAAGAAAGTAAGTCGACCTGCATTGGGATCAACACTAGACTAAGTACGAAAAAATCGAGGCAACGTCACGAATGCAGGCCCACATTTCATTCTTTGGAGACTACCTATTCACTAAAGATGATATGATATGCTAAGGCAAGCCTCAAAGGTTTTGAAGAGGAAAATGTTTAACCTTTCAACTCTATTCCCCGCTGAAAAATGGATTTTTTTGAACCATCCTTGGCAATACCCATATCATTTGTAGCTATTCCTACAACACGGTCGTTTTCGTACAAAACCTGCCATCATAGCATATTAAGCGGTCTGAATACAACTTCATGACTACCAAATACATTCAATTCTGCAAAGAAATCAAAAACTTTCTCATCTACTAGACACAACAAGCCACTGAGGAATGCAAAGCTGTAAGAATGTCCTGCACCTCGCTAGCTGCAAAGCCTGGATAAACCTCAACCCCAAGTTCCTCAGCTTTGGCCCCTAACCATCGAACAAGCTGACTCAAACTGCTCACACAACAATTATCACCCTGAGAACATAGCATTATCCATACACAAAGTGCAATTGTTGCCATTCCTGTGAAATACAGCTGAACCGTGGATATGTTTTCACTCGTAAGATTATAATCAAGTACACCCACATCAACATATGGACTAACAAAGCAATGTTTATCCTGACGAAACAGAATTCATCAACGACCTATGTCAATCCAAATTAGGACACATGAACAGTAACAGCACTAATAGAAGAGACAATCTTCAACCATGATGGTGCTAATCAATTGCTGATAATGCCACAAGTGTGACAAGGTGGGATAGGCTGGTCACCTAATGACATAATTTCCCTGGTTGTTAAAAGGGGACGGCAGTGGTATAGCACGTTTCTCGGTTAGATACCAAAATTTATCAGCTGTAACCGGCACCTTCACTGGAGCCTGCAATCCAACCACTCTAATGTCATTTCATTTGAGGAGCAGAATTGATGGCACAATTTAACTTGAAAATAGTGTTTCAATCATGCAATCTACCACCGCTCCTAAACTAATTCGCATGTTTAAAATACAAGTGAAAAAGCATGAGGAATATAGAAACCCAGAGCGTCGTATTAAATGACATTCTAGAAAACTATGTAATGTCGACAGGAAAGCTAGCATGATCAGCATCTTACGTCTTGCTCCTTCCAATCTGGGAAAAGCTCACTCAAGGCACGCGGCTCGTACACATTTCCAGATAGAATATGTGCACCTGTGAAACAAAATGCGAGTTTGTTAGCGTGTTCTCGGCACACAGGATGACATCAAGTTCGAGAAGAGAGAGCATCTTCCCATCACAAAATCGACATTAATGAAATAGAGAAAACAATTTTTCTGAATTATTTTCACTACAAGGCTTCACTGCACGATAAAGCACCAAGAAGTTTAGAAGAAAGAGAAAAATAGAGCTGACCTACTTCTGGTGCTTTCTCGACAACACAAACAGAGAGGTCGCTGCCCTTCTCTTGACACAGCTGCTTCAATCGGATAGCTGCTCCGAGCCCAGCCGGTCCCCCTCCCACTATGACCACATCATACTCCATGACTTCTCGTGATTCATCACTACTGGCTTCAGCACTAAATTTTCGTGTCTGCTCACTCTGGAGCCGGTCAAGCCCAACTTGAAAATGACGTGAACGTGATCCTTCCACTGACATCAAGCTTCTGTGACCTAAAATTCCTTTGAACAGACCATCATGTTTCTGAACTACTGCCGTGAACTGGATACCTTCGTAATCCGACCTTGAACGACCTTGAGAAAAATTGCTGCTTTCCTTTCCTTTTAATGGTCTTTGAGAGTAGGTTTCTTCAAGAACGTTGCGGGAAAAGCACCCTGGATTGAAATCGTGACGTCGTGCAAGGAGAGGAGCGGACCAACCCCGTGTTCGAAACAAGCGCCCCATGTGGGAAACTTCTATCAGCAAACGCCTAATTCTGTTACCCCTGTCTCAGCGTCACTATCCTGCAAAGTCATCGGACATGCCCAAATCCCTTATCATTGACCCAGAATTTACATGCTGTAGCATTCATGTACCAAATTCGCACCAGATTTCTTACAAACAATATCATCAAAGACGGCACCTACTTGAATCAAAGGGCGGCAAGATTATGATTTCTCAAACATTTACTACACACGAATAAAGTTTTGAAGCTTTTCGAAACTATCATTCAGCGAATCGGCGAATCCAATTCTTCAAATTCTACTCTAAGCTTTACAGAGTGGCCTAATTTACAGAACTGGTTACATTATCTTCAATAATCCGAAACCCAATTTACAACCTCGTATGTTCATTCTGAAGCTCACCTGAAAACTCGAAGTTGATCGAAAATCTTCGTCGCCTAAAATTGCTACAACAGCAGCTCGCTTCCAACCGGACACCGAATCAAGGAAATCTGCCGATCGGGAGAAAGTCGGATTTAGTAAATCGGATCGCGACGCGCGTTCAAACTAGAGCAACCAGAGGCTCCTTCGTGCACTCTAAAAAACAATCCTCTCTGTTATGAGATACTGACCCTACCTCCAGTCACATGATACAGGTCCAGCAGGTTGATTGCAAACCCTACAAGCAACCATCACAAAAAAATAAAATAAACAGCATTGCGACAGAGGGCAGCGATCAATCTAGCTCATGAGAACTCAATAAATACACAGCGCAAACATCAACAAAAAAATCCCAACTCAGAAAAAAAATATCACCCAAAAACACACATTCGCATCAAAGAAACGGCATGCTGTGTCAACAAAGCTGGACATCCCACCGAAAATTACCCAAGCGTGATCACAACGATGGGAATCCAGCAGCGGAAGGAAGCGAAACGAACAAACCTTGAGGCACTTGTGGCAGCACAAATTGTTGGCATGATGGCCAACGTTGTGGGTGCCTAGTCAGCGGTGACGCCCTGCAGTGATCGCCATCCGGATGAGGTGACGACGCATGTCGTGATCACTCGTCCTACACACGCTAAAACTCCACATCGACAACCCACCAGATTCATCGGCGGCAATGACGATTTCCCTCTCTCTGCGGAGATCAAGACCCACACCAGATTGCGCAACATTCCACACTTCCGAAACCCATTCTCCACCCATGAAATCCTTCACATGCTTGATGCTCGCAGTGTTTTGGAATTTAGAGATGTGGGTTGCACAGCTTCTGAAATCTGGATCCATTTGCCATCGTTGTTGCGAGTGTGTCTTCGACTTCTCGCCCTTCAAGCTTCAATCGCCTGCGTCCGAGACTGAGAAACGAGTTTTGTTCATCTTTCCATGAGATCGTGCTTGCCCTTGTGAAGCAAACGATCTATTAACTCTGTGTTGTATTGAGTGAAGTTGTATGTTGCTTTCTCCGTCAATTTGTCCATACTTCTATTTTTCAAGATTTTGTGTTTTTTGTAATGGAAATATAATATGTATTTATGAGAAATATGAATGTTATAGTTGTCAAGAGATGGTCAAAAGGATTAGTTTACAAATGAAGTAAAAAGATCGAATTTAGGATATTGAATTCGGCAAAGAGTGGTGAACTTGGAATACAATAAAAAAATTAGAATAGCAAGTTGGTGGAATACTTTTTGTGAATATCATTAAATATATATATATATATATATATACAAAGTTTTTTTTTTATCTAATATTGATATTTTATTTAATTTAATATATTATTATAATGAGTGTGATGGTATATTTAGAATGTGTACAATTTGAAGAATTGGAGAAGTGAATATAGTAGACATTGATTAATATTTTTAGAAGATTAATTTTTAAATTTACACAATTTGAGTAACTTTACACAAGAGGTATGTACTACAAATGGTAGAGCTATAATTATCAAGGACATGAATCAAAAAACAACCAAAGAATCAATAAATTTTTTTTGTTCCTAAAAAAGAGTGAATATTTATAATAACATGGTTCTAATATTGAAACTAGAATGGCTATTGTTAAAGACAAGAAGATTAGAGACTCTTGAAATAAGGCTATAAACAAGAAAGGCATTGGCAAGAACAAGGTAGGCCTTACTCCTACCAGCATATATACCATCTAACTAAAGAGCCAAGTGGATTATTGCAAATGAATTATTTTAATTCTTTTATGCTTGAAGTAGATTATGTAGATACTACAAAGCTATTTAAGCAAACAATAAGAAGTTTTAGTAAATATCTTATATTCACATATTAAAAACAAATTGAACAATTTCTAAATATGATTTATAACATATTCTTAATTTATATAAAATACTTATGTATAATTTTTTAATAATTTAGGCAACATCATTTCACATAATTATTATAATAATCATTAGAGTAATAGAAGTTATGTAATAAAATGTGGTGGTGGCAATACACATAAAAATGAAAATGCATTAAATTTAATTAAGAATTATTTTTATATGATAAATTAAATAAAAGATATTTTATAAAAAATATATTATTTAAAATAATTACCTAAGGAGAAATTTAAGTGAAATATTTATTCTAATTCAAAGTATATTTTTTAAAAAATTATGTTATTTGAAAACTTTCATAATTATAAAACATGTATTATAAATATATATATATATATATATATATATATATATATATATATATATATATCTTAGTGAATTATGATTCCAGCATTTAAATTAATTTAGTTTTTTAAAATGATTTTTATTTTTATTTAAATAGATTATTATCTATGTGTTTTAATTAACATATACATATTTTTAAACATTTTTTTGATGCAAAAAAACCTACATATATAATAGATAATAAAATAATTATATAAATTTATAATTAAGAATATATTTTAATTATTTTGATAATTTTATTTTTTATAATGTATTATATGAAATATAATGCATAACATTAGTATAATTAAAATATAATTAATTACATATTTTTAAATATTGAATTTAACTTATTTTTAAAAAGAAATATTATAAATATTTTACTAAATCTATTGACAAAACATAAAATAAGAAGTTTTCATACTTAGCATCAACAAAGTTGCATACAAAAACAAATATGGAGAAAGATGATTCTTGTTTTAATATCTTGTACTTATAGAAAAGAGATTACATTTAATATAAATAAACTTTATTTAAATTCACCTTTATCTTATATTTTTTGATATTACTAAATCTTATTTGCTTTTTAACCTAGCTACTATCTAAAACCCTTATTGGTACTCTATCAATTTGTCTTAAGTCATTATTGCCCTTAACCATTAGCAATTTATTAAGATAAAAATCTAAGAGATGATAACTAAACAATGATTTGTTAATCTTTAATACTTATATTTTACTAATAGAGAAAAAATTACAATCCTAACAACTTTATATCAAACATTTAAAAAGATTATATACAATTTTTTTTATAAACATATCAACAAACATCTATTTAATATTTCATTATTTTATACTTATCATCCTAATTATAACCTTCATCCTCATAAAATGATGTTGAATATTAATGTGCTTGGTTCTTAATTAATACTTTGAATTCTTAGCATATATAAAATAACTTTGATTTTTAAACATAATTGGAATAACCTCTAATTATAAAAATTTAATGTCTTCTAAAAATTGTTTTATTTAGATTGCTTCTATTGCACAGTGGCATGTTATCATATACTCAGGCTCTATAATTAATCTTTCAATAATTGATTGATAACTAAAATTCTACAAAATGGCTTCTATTCCAATAAAAAAAAAAAAAAAAAAAAAAAAAAACTTATATCTAACTATGAAATTTCTATCAATTAATTTTTTAATCCAAGAAATATTATAATAATCTTATAATCAAAGAAATTACTATTAAGCGACAATGTGGAGTCTATTGTGTTTTTTTTAGTAATTCAAAATCTTTTTAAATGTTCAATATAAAGGACTAACCTTGGACATGTATTTGCTTATAACACTCACAATAAATGCAAGATTTATTCTTGTGGCCACCATTGCATACATAAGTGATTATATTGATGTTTTATATGGAATATATTGCATCTTACCTTCAACTTGTAGAAACTCCATATTTTTGAAATTCATCAACTTTAAGTTTGTCTCTTGGGAAGTGTTGATTGATATAAATTCTTTCATAATGAGTTTTTTTAGCACCTCCTTAATGTACTTACTTTGGCTCATTATGATAATGCAATAGAAATTATTTTTTATAAATTCAAATCTAAAGAAATAGAATAATTCTTTTAAATTACTCTTCTTATTCTCAATTCTAAAATAGCCTTTATTCAATGTATATTTTATATATTGTTGGCCAAGATGATCAAATCATCAACATAAAAAATTACAACCGAGAAAAATCCTTTAAATTACATAAATTATAAGAAACTATTAGTTTTATTTCTAAAAGGACATCACTAACAAAAACTATAGAAATGTTTTGGTACCAAGTTCCTTGGTAATTTTTTCAATTCATACAATAATTTCTTCAAATTGTATATAAGTTGTTCTTTACCTTCTTGTATAAATCTTTAGAAGATGGTCTATGTAGATGTCTTCTTTTAATTTATTATATAAAAATATTTTCTTTACATCTATTTAGTATATTTCTAAATCCATTATAGTATCAATTACAATTATAGTCTTATCAATAGTAAATTTGGCAATAAATCCATATAATTTATTTAAATCAATGCCACCTACTTATAGTACCTTTTGGCAACTAATCTTACCTTGTATCAAGAACAAGAACTTATAGGAGATACATAAACAAGTAAGATGTGCATGAAAGAGAGATGAAAAAGTAGAAATAAGAAAGTATGTATATTCAAGAAGCAATTGAAATGACTACTGCTAAAGACTTGAAAAACTAAAGACTCTTGAAACTAGACTAAAAGCAAGAAAAGAATTGGCATGATTTTTTTTACTTTTGTTTTTTTATGTAGTGCATACTACACATTATTAAGAACATAGACAAATCAATAAGAACGAGATTTAGGGAAGTTTTGATGCCCTTGGAATATCAAAAAAGTGCAAAAAGTTCCTATTAAAAATACATTACAATATCAAATGAAACATGTGAGATCAGCAATTGTCGGCCCAACTCGATTCCCCACATTAACTCCCCCCAGAAAATTGACATATATCTATCTCTCATTAGTCCAACAAAATTGTAAGCAAAAACCTCACCCTAAACCCTAAAGCCCTCTCCAAATGAACGAATGATTTCCGTCCCTCTGTAAATCATCCACGATATTTGAGCACAGACACTGTAGGATCAGTTAACAAAGGCAACAGTGCAGCTGCTGCAGTAGTAGCAGTAACCAGCCAGATTCGCACGGTGTGGGCCACGGCAAATTACGCAAAGGGAGACTGAGGTGGAGATGATTAAGGTTCCGCAACCCTACAGATACTTAAATCAGTGGGTTGCGTGCTACACATCCCAACCTAGCGAGGGAACAAAATCACGCACATCCTGCAGTTGCCGCACATTCTCTTAAAAATAATTCGGGTAGGCTATAAAAAGTCTCCTCCTGGGCTTGACAAAGGGGGTTTGACGCGATCGGACGCGCGACCACGAGTCGGGAAAGTCCCTCACCCAACTGATCTCGGTGCCGCATCGGGACAGCCTGGATTCTTCGCAACTTCGGCGTCGCGACATCAATTTGCACACTGTGATCGCCTCCTCCTCCACTTCCTCCTCCTCTTCGCCTGCTGTGGCTCTCCTCCATTTATAAAAGTGCGACAACGGGTGGCGCCGTTGTCACCCTACAGTTCAGCTCCAGATCCTCCCTCCGTCACGCTCCAGATCTCCAGATGCTATTTCTGATCGGTGTGAGCTAAAAACCTTCGTGCTTATTACTAACCCTAAATCTGGTTCGGCGAAGGTATAGCCTTGCTCGTGGTGATGGATGGATGAACCTCGTTCATCTTACACGGGTGATAAATCGTTCGTTGGTCGTGGATGGCTGTGTTTCGTCCGTTAGCGATGAATGGTTTCATTCGTTTTGGATGAAAGCTTGGCTAATGTAGGTTTCGTACACACTTCAACTGTGACCAGATTTCTACATCGACATTAAGGGCATGACGAATATTGGTCTGGTTTTTTGTTTTCTTGAAATAAAGGTTTGAGCAATCAGGTGTTTTTGTTTAGATTTATTATGTGTTTCAGGTTGAATTGTTTATTATTTTGCAATAATGACATTATACCAAGTACTTACAATAGGTAATAATTAATGAATGAAGAATGTATTATGTTAGAACCAAAGAAAGATTTTCCAATCAAAACCATGTTGACAAGAAATTAGATTTCATGTGACTTTATCTTTAA